CTTGAGCTGCTGCTACCCCTCCCTTGCACTCTTGCTCTTTGCCGCCACCATGAAAGGTTGCTTTCTGCCCTGTGCTGCTCTGCGTTGGAGCCAGCTGAGTATGGACGGAAACCTCCAGTAACTGTGAGCGAAATAAACCTTTCCTTCTTTCATTTTGAGTGTCGGGTATTTGTCCCAGCAACGAGAGAAGAGTAACTAAGACAGCACACGTGTTTGCATCCCATCTAGCTGCAATTCTTGAGGTAAATGCTACTCTTCACACTTGACAGACTTGGGAAACTGAGGCAGCAGGGGTCGAAAACCATGCCTCAGACCTGGCTCCCACTGAGGTGCCTCTACAGGGCTAACAACAGAACATCCTGGGCTCCCCTTGGTCCTTAAACTATAACCCTGAGGTCCCTTCCTTTGGCCCTCAGTCCTGAACCAACATGTCCTCCCGGGTAAGGACATGACCAACACATCTGTCACTGATCCATGCTCCCTCGTCACTCGGCCCTGGATACATTTTTCCCGTGGTCACGGTGTGAACATCACACACTCACAGCCCCATCAGCAAGAGTATCAATAAATGTGTGTCAAATGAAGCAATAAAAAATTTTAAAGATAGAAGGGCTGGCAAGATAGCTCAGTGGACTAAGCACCTGCTTAGGCAAGTGTAGGAACAGGCGTTCGATCCCTGGGACTGCATGTTGTGCTGGCCCCGCCCTTGGCCACACGGAGCCAGCCACAGTCTGGGCATGGTGGCCCATGCCTATAATCCTAGTGCTAGGAAGGCTGAAAACAGAGGAGGACCACTAGGAGCCCGAGCTGCATAGTGAGTCCCTGTACCAAATATATGAAAGAAAGAGAGAAAGAAATGAATTAATTAATTTAAAGATAGGGCCCCTGAGATAGCTCAGCAGCATATGTGCCTGCCTAGCAAGCGCAAGGTACCGAGTTTGATACCTGGTACTGGAAAAAAAAAAAAAAAATTAAAGATATAAACTGATACTAGAGATATCTCATCAGAATTGTAGAAATGGTGTCACAGGTGGGTGTACAGGTCAACATTTACCGAATTGCATGCTTTTGATGCAGGTCAGTAACACTGCCAAAGCTTTTTTTTTTTTTTTTTTTTTTTGTGGAGGAACCTGGGATTGAACTCAGGCCCTTGTGCTTGCCAGGGAAGCGCTTATTCCATTGAGGCATCTCCCCAGCTAAAAAATTTTTGACAGAAATTCCCACACAGTAACTAGAAACTCTTAAGTCTGTTTGCCATACCTCAAGTAGATAAACTCACTTTTTCAACTGTGAGCTTTTGGTATCCAAATTAGATATTTTGGATGACAAATCAGACTTCGCCTGAGATATGTTATAAACACACTCCATGTCAAAGTCTTGATGAAAAAAAAAGAAAAAAAGAATATGCGATACCTCAATATTTTTTATATTGGTTACATGTTAAAATAACAATACTTTACATATAATGGGGCTAAAATATGGTGAAAAAACTGTGCCAGGCACAGTGGAAGATGCCTGTAAGTCCAGCTAGTTGGGAGTCTGCAGTAGGAGAATTGCTACTGTGACTCAAAAATAAAAATAAAAAATATTAAAGGGCTAGGGCAGCAGAGCACGGACCTAACATAGAAAGCAAAGTCATGAAGACCTGTGCGTACACTTCTCTTTACTTTTTGGAAACGGCTGTGCAAACCTTCAAATTACCCACGCGGACCCACGTGATTAGAACTGAAGGCCCTGGACCAGGGGGTGGGCATGAGGGGCTCCACTGGCTGAGGCAGGAAGGCCCTTTCCAAGAAGGGACAGCAAAGCAAGACCCGAAAGAGGGGAGGCAGAAGGCCGGGGCTGGAACTGTGTTCCGGGAGGAGAAGCAGCAAGCGCCAAGGCCCCGAGCCGGGGCTGAGCTCCAGCGGCGAGGGCCCATCCTGCGGCAAGCGCCACCCCTCCAGCCTCACCTGTGGCCAGTCCAGAAGTCCAGCTGTCATCTGACCCGTCTGGTTACAGTCATCATCGATGGCCTGAGTGGGCACAGAGAGAAGACTAAGGACGCATGGGGCTTCTCACAGCCCTAGGAGTCAGGAAACATTTGCTGGGCCTGGGGAGACAGCTTGGTGGGCTAAGCACCTGCCTGGCACGCGTGAGGACCTGGGGTCGATCCCCAGTACTGCATGCTGTGCCCCTGAACCAAAATAAACAAATAAATAAATCTCTAAAAAACCAAAAAACCCAGAAACTTTTGCTTTCCTTCTTTTGTCTCTTCCTCTCTGCCCCAGCCCAGCCCCGAGGAGCGAGCCCAGGGTGTCTGTCCTGAGCAGCCAGCCCATTTTGCTTTTATTTTGAAACCTGGTCTTGCTAAGTCGCTAAGTTCCCCAGGTTGGACTCAAAATTGCGATCCTCCTGCCTCAGCCTCCCAGAGTGCTGGCATGGTAAGTGTGCAGCACCACGCCCAGCTAGCAAATGCTTTCTATAATGAGCATGACAGGAGAGGCTTTGCAAGTCATATAGTCTCTGTCACAACCAGTCAGTTACCCAGCTCTGCTACAGTTATGCTGAAGCCACCACAGGCAATATGTAAATGAGTACCTGTCAGTGTTACAGTAACACTTAATTTATACAGTATATTAACCATGCCCTGGGTCATAGTTTGCTGACTCCTAGTCTAGAAAGGTCCTCCTGCTTGGACACAGAGATGAGCAGTTACTTCTCTGGGGCCTGTGGAGCCACCTGGCTTCACCATGGGCATCTTTGAGATGAATATTCATCCGGGCCTCCCGCCAGCCAGGCCCTGGGCCAGGCAGCAGCTGGATGCCCAGAATTTGGCCATTGAGGGTGTCCTAACCTCCGACCTAGTGCTTGGTGCAGGATCGACAGACATACCAGGCAGTGAAGGCCCAGCCCCAGGAACTGTACTGGAGCCCCCGGGAGTGAGCTCTGCTCTTCCCTCCAGGCTGCCTAGCTGGTAGGATAGGAGCTGGAGAGGCAGAGAGTGAAGTCCAGAGGGAGGGGCAGCCCACAGCTAGCACGGGCCCTGGATCAAGCTGTGTCTACAGGCTGCTAGCATGACCAGGGAACCGCATGGCAGGGCCTGAGCCCAAAGGGCACCCTGACCCATTCGTCTGCCATCTTCCCAGCTGTGGCACTTGGTCCAGGAAGTGTCCCTGCCAGCCAGGACCGGCAGGACACCAGCCTGAAGACTACCAGCAAGCAGGCTGCAGGAGGCCCGGCTGGGTCTTGGGAGCCTGTGGGACACCGGCACCCTAAAGCCCTGCCCAGCCCATCTCCTCGACCTGTCCTCTGGTTAGGCCCTCAGCCACAGCTTACCAATTTATACACTGACTCTCTTGCTGGAGTCGTCTCTGTGACACACAATGACCCATCTCGCCTCCCCCGGGCTCCCTGGTACCCATACCTCTCCCCACTGGGACCCTAGTTCTCTCTCAGCCACCCATGCCTTCTTGTTTCTGCACCTCACTTGACCTTGACAGAAGAGACAAGTGAAAAAAGGAAAGGAAGAGAGAAAGCTGCTGGGTGTAGCAGTGCATGTCTGTTGTCCTAGCACTCAGGAGGCTGAGGCAGGAGGACTGCCATGAATTCAGGCCAGCCTGGGCTACATAGGAAGACCCTATTTCAAAAAAACCAGAGCCAGGGCCAGGGAGATAGCTCAGTAGAATAAGCACTTGCCTGGCAAGTGCAAGGCCCTGAGTTCAATCCCTGGTTCTGGAAAAAAAAAAAAAAATCAGAGCCAAACCAAAAGCAAAAGACAGCTTAGGGCGGGGAAGGTAAGTCTTTTAGAACTTTCAGTAACAACAAGCAGCCAGCCCTCTGCGGCACGCATGCCACAGGTTTGCCGCCCAACCTAGGCCTTCATTCTCAGCATCCATGTTCCCACCATCTCTTCTGATGTCTTTCCTCTGTTCTCTCCAAGGTGGCAGGAGGTCACAAAGTCTGTCTCAAAGGCGATAGGCCTAGGAGCTGCACCAGAGGAAACCTGGGGGCCTTGGGTCCCGAGGGTGCGCTGGACCAAAGCCACACCTGCCTCGGCTGAGCGCCAGCGAGGGCAGCTCATGCCCGCCCCAACCTCCACCCTGCCGCAGCCTGCAGGGTCTCCCCTGCCACCCATCCTGCCCACTGCAGGGGTCTCTCTGCATCCTGGCTGGTCCTACTGATGCTGCACATGCCTACCAGGGCTCTCACTGCCCTAAAGCCACCCTTCTGCTGCAGGCCCCAGCCTGCCTCCCACAGGTACACAAGGTCCCCAAGTCTCTGCCTACCCTTACCTTAGCCCTGTGTTACTGGAGCTCCCAACTTCCCCATCCTGTGGGACCAAGCAAGCCCCTGGCTTCACCCCCCCAGACTGGGCTTGGCCTCAGAGGCCCCAAGCCCACCCCCAGGGACCTCAGGGATCATTCGGACACACAGTGACCCGCTCCATCTGCTCTGGCTGCCAGACAGGACACGGCCACACCATCATCTTGTTGGGCACAGAGGGGCAGGCCACACCTACCTGCTTGCCCAGCAGCACCAGGTCCACTTTCTCCTTCTCAGCCAGCTTGGCCAGGACCCGAGCCACCTGCAGGGGACCCACACGCTCGGCCTCTGCAGCTGGTACCTCCACGTGGATGCCTCGATCCGCACCCATAGCCAGGGCCGTGCGGATGGTCTCCTGGCCAGGAGGAAGAAGAGAGACAGCTTCTGTCACCAGGGGATAAAGGAGACTGGGCCTGAGATCCTCCTCCCTCAGACCTGGGCTTCGGGCCCAGCTGTCCCCCTCAGACCCCAGACATCGCGTCCCCTGGCACCTGGCACTGCACGGGGCCGCAGCTGACGGCGATGACCTCCTTCACCAGCTTCTTCTCCTTGAGCCTCACAGCCTCCTCCACAGCAATCTCACAGAAGGGGTTCATGGAGTGCTTCACCCCATCAGTGACCACCCCTGTCTTGTCGGGTTTCACCCGGATCTGCTCAGCAGGAGGGGAGCGGAGGGGAGGGCAGGGTCAGGGCCTCGAAGGTGGAAGGCCAGGCCTGGTACCGCAATTATCTGTGTAGTTGGAGGCACACTGCGGGGGGAGGCAGGACCTCCTTGTCCATCCCAGAGCCCGGCTGGAATTCCCAGGTGAGGGCCAGCCTCCTACTCTCAGCTCATCCAGGTCTTCCTGAGTGCTGGGGCCATCTGACCTCATCACCCCTACACGGCTCTATGCCCTGGGCTATCTGTGATCCTTCTTCGCTGTAATCATAGTGAGGTGGATTTACAAGGTGCTTCAGGCTGTTAGAAATATGTACATCCACACACTTACACATAAGTGCCCCCAGGGTGCAGGGTCCCGGGACACCCCTCACACTTGCAGCACGCCCCAGGCCCCGGCAGTGCCCATGCCACACCTTGCAAGCACCAGCCTTCTGGGTGCACTGCCCCATGCACATATGCTCACCCCTCCTGAAAGCACTGGCATCGAAGGACTCTCAGCCAAGGGGGGTGGGTGCACCCGCAATGCCCACGTCCCCTGCTTTCCCCACACTGTCTGCACCCCCACAGGGCCCTGCAGGGGCTGGACTCCACGGCCCAGGCAGAAGATCACAGGGTGGGCAGATACCCGCCCTCCTGTCAGCCTCCTGGTGCTATGGTGGTCAGCACCTCAGGATCTCGGAGGCCCAGGGACTGTGGCCTCCCTGTGCCCACTTCCACCAGCCTTTGGCGCCCCTTTGCTGTGCCCACCTCCATGCCAGCGTCTGCACCTCTGCCTCCAGCTGGCTGCCTCCTCTTCCTCTGTCCTCTCTCTGCCTTTCTCATACAAGGACTTGAGATGGCATTTAGGGTGCACCAGATAATCCAGGACCCACCCCCCTCAAGATCCATCCTTTCGGGCTGGAGAGATGGCTCATGGGCTGGAGAGATGGCTCAGTGGTCTAAAGCACCTACTTAGAACAAGCTTAGCTAAAGCATCAGGGACCGCGGTTCAATCCCCCAGCACCACATGCCAGCCAGCCCCGCCCCCTGGTGGGCTGAGCTGGCCACACACACACACCACACTCTCTCTCTCTCTCTCTCTATCTCTCTCAAATAAATAAAAAAAAAAAATTAAAAAAAAAAAAAAAAGATCCATCCCTTCATGATAGCAGCATAGGCACTCCGGGAAGGCTGCTGGGTCAGTGAGCTGTGGATCTGTAGCATGTGCCCCTGGAGAGGCAGGGAGCTGTCAGACAGTGACAGGGCCTTTCTGGTCTGACGTGGGAGACCAAGGGCCCCCACTGAAGCAGGACGGAGCCCAAAAATGAACAAAGCTAACAAGGCCGAGTGCAAAGCATGTGTGTTGTAGAAGGGGCTGCAGCAGGTGCCAAGGCCCTGGGGTAGGAGGGCACAGGGGCTGTGGGAGGTACACAGGCTGGTGTAGTCCATGGGACACACAGCGCCACCAGGCTGCCCCGCTGTGACAGGCACAGCACCACCCTCCAAAGAGCTCCATGTCCTGGAGGGGGATGAGCCCTGAAGATGTCACAAGGGACTCCATGGATGTGACCAGGTGTGGGATTTTGAGGTGGGAGAGTCCTGCCTCCTCCTGATGGTTCCTACATGGCATCACATGGGACTTTATGGAGACAGTCAGAGTCAGAGGCTGTCAAATGCTTTGACGACAAGGGACGGGCCTTGGGCCGAGGAAGGCAGAGACCGAGAGAAGCTGGGGCAACAGGGGAACCGAGCTGCTGACACCTGATGCGATCCCAGAGAGGCTGAGGCTGGGCTTGGGGACCCCAGCACGGCATAACAATCAGCTGTGTGGTCGGAAGCCGCTAAGCCCATGGTGCCTCAGGTCAGATCCTAGGGAACAAAGGCAAGTGTGCAGGCCCAGGAGGGTGGGCCAGGAGCTGGACTGGGGCTACAGGGAGGGTAAAGGGGTGGCTGGGCCCAACTTAAGTTCTAGATCGTTCTGGTCTCTTGGTGGAGAAAATTGGAAAATGATCAGAGGAGGTGGTGAGAGAGTCGTCTGTGCATCTGCAAACTGGGAGGTCCCGAGTTGGGAGAACAGGAGCGCTGGGGCAGACTTGGAAGGCAGAACTGACGGCCTGGGGCTGGGCACAAGGATGAGGGCGTCCAGGCCACCTCTGGGTGCTCGGTCTGAACCTCAGAATGGGCAGGGGAGAAGCCTGCAAAAGCACTGGACCTGCTCTTCCCCAAGGGGCAGCCACCAAGGCCTCAGCTGGAGAAACGCAGGCAGACAGGGGAGGCCAGCTGGGGACACTGGGCCACTCCCTCTGGCTAGGTCCTGGCCTCCTGATCTTTGGGGCTGAAAGGAATCGGACAGGAATGTGAGATTGGGTCTGGGGCCTCCCAGGCTGAATATGCCCCATGGAAGGGGTAACATTAAAGGATGGAGAGGGGGACAAGGAGGAGGAGGGTGAGCGGGAGGGAAAAGGGGAGGGGAGAAAGAGGAGAAGAATCAGTGTTTTCAATTACTGTTATTTCACCTTCAGAAAGTCATTTTAAAAGCTGGATATGGTGGCACATATGCCTGTAATCCCAGCACTATGAGACCGAAGCAGGAGGATCTCAAGCAAGAGCACGGCCTGGGCAATGCATCAATTTTATTTAGTTATTTATTTTTACTTTGTGGTACTGGGGATTGAACTCAGGACCCCTTTTCTTATTTATTTGGTACAGGGTCTCACTACACAGATCGGACTCGCTATGCAGCTCGGATTTGCGATCCTCCTGTGTCAGCCTCCCCAGCGCTGGGATTACAGGCATGCGCCACCATGCTCAGTTTTGACACCGGTGCGCCTGGGGTTCTGGGGCAGCATGGTATGCAGCAATGGAGATCAAAGCTGGGTCCTTGTGCTTGCCAGGCAGGTGCCTAGACCACCGAGCTATCTCCCCAGACTGAGACCCTGTTTCAAAATAAAATATAAAACGGGATACTAGGGATGCAGCTCAGTGCAAAGGCCCTGGGTCCCACCCTAGTACTACCACCCCAAGTAGATTGAATTCGGGACCTTGCTCTTGCCAGGCAGGTGTCTCTGCTGCTGAGCTATCTCCCTGGCCCTCCCCCGAAGTCATTTTAACACAAAGAATGTAGCTCAAGTCTTTAGGAAATGTGTCTGTCCTGTTTGTCCACCAGGGGCGCACTCACACATTTGCTGCACACGTTTGCTATGGAGTTTAGCTGGGGTCTATCCTTAGCCTACTTCACAGGGGAAACAGCCCTAGCAGCCAGGGTCTCTTGGCCTGTGAAGATGCTTCCCAACATCCTCCAGGCCTCCACCTGGTCATCCTTCCCCGTCAGCCCCACGGCTCCCACCTGGCCCTGGCCCTGCACTCCATGGGACTCTGCACAGCACCGCCTAGAGACAGCATGCAGCGCTTCTGTCCTCTGCCCTCCCCTCGGAGTGCGGGCCCTGGAGCGCTGAGATTGCTCTGGCTCTGCTCAGGCCTTGCACGGTGCACACTGTAGGTGCTCAAGAATCACGCTCAAACCTGACCAGCCTGGCCGCACACTCTGCGACAGCTTGGAAAACGAAACCCAAACACGTTCTCTTTCCTTGGAAACTAAATTAAAATACAAGACAAGAGGGTCTTCAAATAGGAAAGAGCTGCCATCACGAAGCCTAAAGGGACCAAGCGGGGCGTTAGAGGACCCCTACCCCTGCTGGACCCTGCCCCAGGCTCCTGGCTCTGGGTCCAGAAGGGACAAGAACCTTGCAGCGCTTGGAATCCTGCCAGTCAGCTGCTCACTTGAGGGAAGCCCTTTGTGCTTGAGTTGGTTTCAGGCTTGAAATACTGCTTAGTTAAACGACGCGAAGCAGGACTCAAGGGCTGCCTGGGACACCAGCAAGGCTTTTGGCTTGTTTTGTTTTGCTTAGGCGACTCTGCAAAGCGTTTCTTCAAGGAGCCACCTGTTAGCCTCCCACAGCCATGCTCATTTTGCAGCTGGCAGCACTGAGGCACAGGTGTCTTGCCTAAGGACACAGAGCAGGCAAGGGACAGGAGCCAGGATTGCCCTGCGGAAGAGGCTAAATGTGAAGCTGGCGCACCAGCCTTCGATCTGTGTCGCCAGGTGTGACAGACCTTCACAGTGACCCAGGTGGCTCCTCCTGACCCCCGCCACAGTGCATGCCTTCTGCGGGGTTATCTCCTCTCCCGTTCTGCCCAGCACGCCAGGAAAGAGCAGGTGCTGGGGTACAGAGCAAGCAGCACAGTGAGGCCTGCTGTGGGCCTGCGGCAGCGAGCAGTGCCAGCCGGAGGCCAGGTACCGATCGATCGCTACTGCGGCTCGGAGGCCCTTCAACAAGCAGCTCCTGTGGGGCAGACAGGCAGTCCGAGAGTGCAAGGCCAGGAGGAAAGGCAGGCAGAGAGCAGCTACTGTTTCCCCGCACCGCGAGGGCAAGGCTGCTCGGCCCACAGGCGGGCTTGATGTTGCTGTCCCTCGGTGTCTTCTTTAACAAATCCCAAGCTGGGCGTGGTGGCACACACCTGTCATCCCAGCACCCTAGAGGCTGAGGGAGGAGGACTGAAAGTCTGAGCCCAGCCTGGGCAACTTAGCAACTCAGAGAAACCCTGTCTCAGAATCAAAACATTCAGAGGCCTGAGGATGTGCTCAATGAAAGGTCCTGGGTTCAAACTCAGCACATAAAACAGCAAAACCAAAAACTCCCGAAGTAAGCACACAAGATCATGCCAGCTTCTCCAGGACATCCGGGAGAGGGCCGGGGCTCCGGTCTCCTGTATGCCTGGGTTGCCAGAGTCCTGTTAACTCCTCGTGCCCAGCACCACAGCGAGCAGAGGGTGTTATGTTTTGAATAAGTGGCAAAAGAAACCTCCAAGCGGTTACCACAGTAACAGCAGTGCGAAACTCCAGTCAACATGGACCTCAGTCCGGGAAAACCCATGCAGTCATCACCCCCAGCACAGAGGAGAGAGACGGAGCTGCAGGCAGAACAGCAACTTCCTGCGGGTCCTGAAGCAGGAAGCGGACCCAGTGGGCTGGCCTGGAGCCCAGGCTCTGACCCACCCTAGTAGTGCACACCTGCTGTCCACGAGTGTGCCCAGACACACCTGAGACACACTCAAATTCCAGAAAGACTGGATAAAACACTATAGGCCCAAATAAGCACATTTCACTGTGGATTGCATCTTAAGAGGACGGGGGCAGGTGTAGCAAGGACAGGAAAGTTCTCAGAGGGGGGGATCTCTGCCCAAAAGCTTGAAGGAGCTGAAGGGAGCAGATCTCGGACCTGGCCCTCCCCACAAGCAGCTGTGGGTCTGACGGCTGCAGGGCGGACAATGCAGCCAACAGAGGCGGCATCCAGTGTAGCGAGGGCGGAAGCTGAAATGCCCGAGGACTCACCAAGCTAGCCTGATGGCAGGAAGGGACTCCTGGAGGAGGCTGAGACAATGCTTATATAACTGCATCAAAATGCAGCCCCCTCCTCACCCCAGAGCAAGAGGCAGCCTGGTTTATGAGCAGAGGAGATGCAGACTGGGGCTGTGGAAACAGAAATGGTGAAGTAGTGTCCCTAAAGGGACATGGACAGTGGGACCAGGCTGCTAAGGGGCCGGGACTTTGGCCTGAGACAAAGGAGCCTTCCAGAGAGCCACTAGAAAGCCAAAAGCAGGGGAGGTCAGGGCAGAGCCATATGTAAGAAGATCCTTAAGGCTGGGAGAGGATGGGTTAAGGGGAGAGACAGGAGCCAGGGAAGAGGATGGGGCTAGGGCTAGGGCAGAGGGACAGCAAGCAGACAGCAGTGGAGGATGTGGGGTTAGGACTGGGGTCTGGCCTGGTGATTATGTGGCCAGCAGTGTGTGCATCATTCAACTGTGCTGGAAGGAGCACCATCAAGGGATCCTGGTAGGATGTAGGAGGAAGTAGTGTGGGAGGGAGGGGAAGCAGCACCGATCCTTGATCCTCAGTAAAGGAGAGGAGCGGGTAGATTCTGAGTTTCCTGTTCTCCCAAGGGACACACTGTAGGTTCCCAGGAGCTGGGTGATCCCGGGATGGAACTATGTCAAATAGAGACAGAGCTGAGCTCAGATATCCCGAGCCAGGGAGACCACAGCAGCACAGGAGGCCCAGGGGAGTAGGAGCCCAGAAGGGACCCGGAGACACAGCAGATTTGGGAGCCAGACTTGCCTGTTTTGGCCCCGACTGCTCCTTACTAGCTGGGTGATCCAGCAAACAACAGAACCTCCACAGGCCTCAGTTTCTTTATCTGTCCAATGGGATTAACAGCATAGAGGATACAAGAATGGGTTAGGACTGAGTGGTTAATCTCCGTAAAGGATCTAGAATGTGTTCTGTCAGTTGTTCTGATCTCTGAGGTCTCCAAGTTCTTCTCCACCCCCTGCCCAAAGTAGGCTGGGCCATGCTAACATGAACTTTGAGGCCCAGTCGAACCCACTCCAGGCTGCCTCCAGGATGCTAGCTCCTGTCCTGGCCTCCTGGGGACACAGCTGTGAGCTCCCAAACATGAACAGTCAACATCATCAGTCGATCTGAGCCAAGTGTTGGGCAAAACTGGCCTGGGAGCGTGTCTGATTCACCTCTGTCCACACCAGCTTCACCCTGGGGCCAGCCGAGGCCCCCAAGGGGGCTGCTTGGCTCAGCTTTTTCTGGAGAACATGATCAACTGCCCGCTTAGGCAGGCCAGCCCCTTTGCACTTTGCTTGCTAGCATGCGCACTTGTCCTTCCATTCTTGGCTATAGCCTCCTCTCCCCAGCTCCCCCCACCCCAGGATTCAAAGTTTCTGGGCCTGTCTGACTCCATAACCGCACATTTGGAGCACTTCAAGAATCAAACAGGAAGGCCGTGCAGTTTAAAGACTAAAAGCTCCAGTCTGAATGCGGAACCGGAGTAACGACAGGATCCCAGCCCTGCTCTACCTCGGCGGAGTGATTTGTTTGTGCCTTAGTTTCTCCATGTGTTACACAGAAGCTATGCCTCTTCCAGGGGTTAAGAACTACTGAAGGTAACTCCTTCTGCACACAATTAATCAAGACAGCGAGAAAGGAGCTGAGGCCATGACCGCAGTGGGATGAGAGGTCAGAACCTGCAGCCCTTGACCTTTGCCCCTAGGTGTGACTCTGACGTTCTGGGGCCATGGCAGAGATCAGAGACTAGGAGCAGGTCCCCACACAGCGTGCGCTGGTGAGCTCGGAAGCACATGGTCGCGGGTCTCAGGGAGGTGGGAGAGAGGGGCCCGGTCACCTTCACCGCGAAGTCGATGACCCTCTTGACAGCCACGAGCGCGCGCAGCTCCGCCATCTTCCGCCGCGGCCAGCTACAGTCTAAGTCTGTACCCTCCGCCTGTCTGGACGCACCGCCCCAGTGAGCCTCTGCGCCTGCGCGCCGCGCCACCAACCAGTCAACTACCGCGGAGACTGTATCCCCGCCCACAGGACCAATCAGAAGGAAGGAGGGAGGGTAGGTGTGGTGTAGGTAGGAGGCCAATGGGAAGCGGCGCTCGGGCACAGGGGCGGGGCCTGAGGGCACGGCCGAGGGGGCGTGGCAGGGAACTAGGGGAAAGGTCGAGCCGGGGAGCGGAGCGTCGGGCGCACAGATCTTGGTTCCCTTAATCACCTCCAGGCGTCCCTAAATCAACTCTTTTCCCCCAAGGTCTCCCTTAATTCCCCTCTGGTCCAAGTCGCTATTCCCTGTCCCAGGTCTCTGCGTTCTCCAATCTCGCCTCGCCCGGTTTCCAACCGCTATTTATCCGAGTCCTCCCGCGCTCAGCTCCGCACTTTCCAGCCCGCCTTCTCCGCATCCTCTCCGAGCGCGCGTCTCCCTGGATGCGTTCGTGTTACTACGTCCGTGACCCCTCCCCTTCTCCACACTCTCTGTGGTTCTGGTGTTCCCCTCCTCGCTGAGCCCAGCGTACCCTGTGTCTGCGCAGACCCCCCAGAAAGGCACGTGCAGTCGCGCGCTCCGAGCTGAGCCGTCACTTTATTGCGCCTGGGCCGGCGCGCTCACAGGCACACGGGGAAGGTGCGGATGGCCTCCGTGCTCCGCAAAATCATGTCCGCCAGCAGGAAGCAGCTGCCTGCGGGGAGGGGAGGGAACGGAGCCGCAGTCAGTGGGCCCGGGAAGTCTCTAGGGGCGGGGACAGCTGGACGATCTCCCACCCTCCTCCCACTGGCCAGGTTACCTGCGAGAACAGAGAAGGGTAAAGCCAGCCACCCTGAAAAATAGGACCAGGAGAAGACGTCGTCCTTCCTCGCACTCCCCACTGTGTAGCTGGTCAGCGCCATCAGCAGCAGCAGCCCTGGCCCACGCCCGCTTGCTAGGTGAGCGCGGCCAGGTGCAGCAGACCCGGCCCAGCCCACTCAGGCCACACCCCCTTCGCCCGCCTACCAGCCACACCCACTCTCCCATATCCACCCCGGTGACTCCCCTTCGCACTACCACCAAACCACGCCCACTGCCCGCGGCCCCGCCCTGACTCCGCCTCCAATAGCTGTCTCCCCGAGATCTGCCTGGGTTCCCGCCGGGCTCCCCGAATCCCAAGGGCACCCTCGGCCCCCCTCCGCCTGCTCACCGCTGACAAAGAGCAAGACGCTTGTAGTCTGGCCCCGCAGAGACTCGTCCGCCCGATACAAAACCCGCAACCCCATCACCGTGGCCACCACACCGCAGCTAGCCGACAGCACCAGGAACAACGAGGCGATCAAGATCGTGGCTGGGGACAACGGGCCGCATCAGCCTCGCTTGCGGGCACCTCGGATCCCCGCCCTCCCAACCCGGAGCTGGACTGTGGGACTGGGGGTTCCTGGAGCAGCGGACCGGGTAGAGGCAGCCTGGTGCACTTAGGGTAGACGGTGGCCTGGGGTGGGGGTCGGGCTGTCTGGGGTCTTTGAGTGTGTGGCCTGACGCTTGTGGGAAGCTCACGCTGGCGGGGGATGTTGGAGCACAGGCCCTGGGTGCACTCTTGCCACAGGCCGCTGTGCCCGTTCTCATGGAGGATCCAGTAGTTGGTTACCGTGGACAGGATCGTGACGACACAGGCCATGAAGCTGAGCAAAGTGCCCCAGCCCTGAAGGCTCCGCTTTACTCCCATGCGTGGCAGGCTGCTGCTGGGGACCGCAGAGGCAGGGCTGGCTGACCTCCGATGCCCCCTCACACCGCCTCCCTTAGAGTTCTCTAAAACCCTGGGGCCCATTCCTCCACAACCTGCCTAGGGGACACGCGACCCTCCCTCTACCCTCCCACAGGGGACTTCAAGACCTCCTCCCAGCCTTACTGCTGAGGAACCAGCCTTCCCAGAGACCTCCCTCCTCCAGTGCAAAGTCCCATCTGTGGTCCAGTCCCCTTCCCTTCCCTTCCCTGCCTTACACACACACACACACACACACACACACACACACCCCTAAGAGACCCACGTCCAGCTCCCCAGGATTTCTAAGACTAAAGTCCAGAGGGGTGGGCAAAGGGACACTGGGGCTTTGTGAGACAGCCTGGAGTTCTAGAACCTCTCCCCCAGCAGCTGTTTAAAGGGATAACCACACAGCAGCAGCTCCCTGCCCTCTTCTGGAGATAGAACGTGACCATGTATGCTGTAACACTGAGCTACGTCCTCAGTCTTTGTATTTTTTATCTTGAGACAATGTCTTGCTAAATTGTGCAGTTAGGGCTTGCACATTTTTGTTTCAGACAAGATCTCACTATGTAGCCCAGGCTGGCTTAGAACTCAACTGATCCTCCTGTCTCAACTTCCTGAGGGCTGAGATTACAGGCGTATACCACCACACCCTGCCTGGGACTTGCTTTGTTTGGGGGTACCAGGGTTTGAATTTAGGACCTTGTGCTTGCCAGTCAAGGGCTTAAGCTGTTGAGCCATCTCCCCGGTGCACTTTTGATCCTTTTGCTTCAGCCTCCCACAGCTCTGGAATTACAGGTGGGCAACTGGTCCCTCTTCACAGAATGACAGCTGAGTGGAACAGTGGGTCCTGGGGAAGCTTGACCATGACAAAGCAGACCAAAGCTCCCTAGACACTCCTCCTCCCTTCACTTTGTAGGACTCCAGAAGGCCTCCTCGTTCCCAGTTCTCTGGCTATGCCCTTGAAGGCCCCTGCAGGCTGAGGTCCTGGGCCCTTGGCCCCTTGGCTAAGATCCTCCCTCACCTTCCAGACACTGCTCAGCCAAAACTTCATTCCTGGCCTCGTAGTCAAGTCCTAACCCGCTTCAGACTGTCCCCCGGGCTCAGCACTCATCCACAGCAAAACGCCCTGGGCACTAACCTGCGCCCTCCTGCCTGTATCCCACAAAGCTATGGGCCCCTAAGCATCGTTCCTCCTGTACCCACCCAAATCTATCAGGTACAGTGCCTCCTTTCAATCCTGGCCTTGGTCCCAGGCAGGCCCCATCTTCCAGGCCTGTGCCTGTCCCAAATCTTCCAGTCCCAAACCCCACCCCACGTCCACAGAGGGACTCAGAGCTGACCACATCCCTCCCTGCCCAAAATGTCCTTACCCTCAGTAGGGAGCCCCGTGAGTGTGAGATCGAGGGTCCCGCTCCCCACACCTCACCTTCTGTATTCCAGCCACAGACCACCCTCTGCACCACTGAGAGCTCCTGGCTGTCCACGGCCACAGCCTGAGATCTTGAGTGCCTTCCCGAGAGAGGCCACCTGGTGCTCTGCCTCCTGGCTCCCAGAGGCCAGTCTTTCCGGCGTGCTCTCGGGCTTTGGCTGCTGCTTGGCCAGTACCAACAGCTGGTCTGTAACTGCCCTGTCCTGCCTTGCCCCCGACCTCCTGGGTACACCTGTCATCACCCACCTTGGACAGATGGGTTATGATTTCTTTCTTTCTTTTTAATCTTGAGAGGGTCTCATTAAGTCACTAAGTGGCCCAGGCTGAGCTAAAACTTCTGCCCCTCCTGTTTCAGCCTCCCAGCCTCCCAGTTGTTTATGTCTTGGCTGAATTAATCTTGCAATAACCAGATTTTAGCAAACTTTTTATTGAATGACTGAAGAAGTTAATGAAGGGGGATGCACTGGGGGGGGGGCAGCCTTCCTTCTGGGGCTCCTGAGGACACTTCCAGGACATGGCACGCAAACACAAACACATGCTGGCCTTTTCTCCTGCTCACAAGCTTTCAAAGTCAGTCCGGTGGGCACGGAAATGAGCGAGCAGACTCAAGGCACCTGGGACGGCAGAGAATGTAAGCACTTTCCCCACCTGCGTCTCCCCAGCCCTAGGGCCTCCCAGCTCCCCAGGAGGTGCCCCAGCTGGGTGATCACCTGTGCAGAGGAACAGGAGGGTAGAGACCCAGCCCAGGTAGAAGGACCAACCGAAGAAGGTCTGGAACTGCTGGTGCGGAGTCTCTCCCCAGCGTTCAGTGGTGTACACTGCCATGGCCACCAGCATGGAGAGGGCTGGAGACAAGGACAGGGGAGACAGGTGAGTCCCTGGGTGCACCCCCACCCCAGCACCCAAGCCCCACCTGTGGCCTGACCTGCAGTAAATGCCATAATGGTGGCAACCAGAGGACCACGGGCAGGGGCAGACAGAGAAGGGACGCACGACAGCACCAGGAAGCCCACGGCCACCAGCACCCACAGGGTGGCCAGGATGCAGAAACTCTGGGTCACTCGGATGTAGCCTGCTCGTTGGAGACAAGACTTAGAGCATGCTTCGCACCCCGGCCATCCACCCTCAGGAGAACCCAGCCCTTACCTTTGATATTGTCCAGCTTGCCATCACTCGGCCAGAGGCCTGAGTGACTTGAGACATTCCCCATCACCACTATCCAGACATCAGTGCTGATGGCCACCAGCGCAAACACCAGGCCCAGGGAGCCAACGAGCAGGGCCAGGGACCGGCAGGGCTCCATGGGCAGTGCTGGGTTTTCAGGTTCCAAGGGATGAAGAGGCTGCCGACTCCGGCCGCTGGGCTCTAGAGGGCGGGAGGATGCCAAGTCACGGGCTCCTGGGTCCTCTGAGCTGGTGGAGCAGAAGGCAGCGGTCAGCTTGGCTCCTGGGTGGCTTCACACAGTTACCGGCAGAGGCTCTTCATATACCCTGCCTTCCTGCTTTGTAGACTTTCTGGGTCCTGCCCGCAGGTTTCTCTCAGCAGGGTCTGGTAGGGAGGGCTCAGGATGTCGAATCATCCGTGGTTTATGTGTGGTCTAGCGTGTGCCTCTCTCACAAGTTCTCTATCTGCCATCCTGGTTTCCCCCACTGCAGGGCTTCCTGGAAGGGGCAGGAGGAAGAACCCGGGGGCCACAGGTGGGAGGCAGCCAATCAGCCTCTTAGTGATTGGTTGGGGGCAGATATGGCCAGAGGGGACAGTTGGGGACGTGTCGTGGTGTCATGCTTTCCTGTGGTTGTGCAACTCTCTATGCTGGGAGAGGAGGGACCCACAGCACCAAGTTGTGCCAGAGGTGGGGCCCGGGGCTCAGCTATCCAGGTCCCTGGCTGGAGTTTCTGCCTTCCCCAGGGCAGGCAAACAGCGGAGAATTGTGATTCCGAAAGGCTGTGGAGAGGAGGGAGCAGCCCGCAGCCTCATCTGATAAAGAACTGAGTGGTAACTACTGTGCTTAGGGTGAGTCCTCCAGCGCAGGGTGAGTGGAGCCTGTCCCAGCATCAGCTACTGAGAGAGAGAGAGACTGGGGACAAGAAGGTTAGTGGAGGGTCCTCTGGCCTCTGAGAGCACGACTTGTCCAGCAGCACATCCTACATGATATCACACCTCAGCAGGTGTAAAGCGAATGGGCCCCAGTCCAGGTTGAAGGCTCAAGAAAACGTGGTCTCTAGGAAGTAGAGAGTGACCTAGAAGAGGACCTGGGTCACAGGTTCATGACCATGAACTGCGCCAGCTCTTCAGGACAGCCGGCTACAGGAAGAACAAGAAAGGGCCAGGGAGCTCTGTCCCCTCCTGAACACCAGAGGCTTAATTTTGGGGCCCTGATCCATGCTTGGGCTCTAGCCAGTGAAGAAGTGAACACCCTTGAGCATGTGCTCAGGAAGCCAGGCTCACAGAGAGGGACAGAGGTCACCACAGGCAGCACGGGGAAAGTCACAGGCAGGGCTGCATGAGGCACTGCAGACAGACTTCAGGAAGTTAGGACCTGGGGTGCGTGGGGAGCACACAGCTCTTCTGGGACCTTGACACCTTTCTTACCTCGGCTCTACCTAGGAATACAGCCCCTCACCCCAGCCCCAAACAGAACCCCATCCTGACCCCAGACCGAGCCCACCTACACACTCAACACTACGCCACCCAGTGCCTCTCCACCTTTGACTCCAATCCCACTCCAAAACCAATGTCATCTGCACCTCAAACCTCATCCCCATCCTCATCTCTCCGGGCCCAGTTGGTTCTCCTGCTTCAACCCCAGAGCTCCTCTCACAGGCCCATTTTCCTCTTCAGGTTACCTCCAGATCCAGGCCCTGGCCTCCCCAAGTCACCCCCACCCATGGCCCAAGGGCACCACAGGTTTCTGTGCCCCGGGCCCAGAGTCTTAGACACAGCCATCCAGCAGGGGTGGCGGAGGCCTCTGGGAAGAGCACAGAGGCAGGGCTGGAATAGCCCGGAGGGCAGGAGGAGGGCTGGAGCAGGGTTGCTCTGTGGCACCTCAGGCTGTTTTCACAGTGAGAGGCTGTCTGAGGACAGCAGAGGAGAAACTGGCCTTGTGTGGAGCTTCTGCTGAGAGTTGTTGTCCTTGGCCACCACAAGGTCCAGATTACTGGTGTCCTTAGATTTCCACCAACCTTGGTCAAGCCTGCCAGGTTTTCTGAATCCCCCAGGTCTCCTGCAGCTATCTCCAGCCCTGCTAACCTCAGCAGCAGCGCCACACTGCCATAGAGTACTACAATACTGTCACTCCAGTGCCCTAAAGCTCTACCTGATGGGGAGACCACCCTGGCCTTTGCTCTGCATGGACTCCATCTTCAGCACAAATGTCCCCGAGCCACAATCCAGAGGTTCCACTCACAGCCTGGGATGCTCTTCCCCATTATATCCTCTTTCACTTGGCATGATTCAGCTTCTTTCTACCGCTTCCCACATTTCACCCCCACCCCCAGGCCTCAAGAACTTTAAAGAAAGAATGAGGGGCCGGCAAGATAGCTCAGTGGTCTAAAGTGCCTGCTTAGGCAAGCTTAGGCAATTGCAGGGCCCAGGGTTCAATCCCCAGCACCACAAACCATGCGGGGGCCAGCCCTGCCCCCAGGGCAGGCTGAAAGAAAGAATGAGATCAGATAGGGGGATTGCACAAGGTATAGAGGACTCTCATTGCCCGTGAGCCTATATTATATCACGTCTTATTGTATAGTCCATTATAGGGGTAAGTCTCCTTACTACCTGGGAGACAGAGGCCAGAGGGTAACATGTTTGAGACCAATCTGGGCAACTTAATGAAACTCCTTTATAACTAACTAGCTAAATAAATAAATGATTAAAAGGACTGGAGATGGAGCTCAGCATCACCTAGCACACCGTCCAATCCTGTGTTCTTGGTAAACAGCATGAAAAGGATCGACATTTCTTTCTTTTTTTTTCTTTTTTTTTTTTTTTTTTTTTGCAGAACTGGGGATTGAACTCAGGCCCTTGTGCTTGCCAGGGAAGGGCTTATTCCACTGAGCCATCTCCCCAGCTCCTGCATCATCATTTCTATGGAGACCTACTCTGTTAGTAATATTCAATGTGGTTTGCTTTTGCAGTGAAGATTAAGTCTGAATGTTCTTAGAGTAAATCCCAGTGGTATGAGTGTCAATAAATACTCGTCAGCTGGCTTGAATAAATGTTTATTGCCCAAAGAATATTCTTCCCAGCGAATATTCTTCCCAGCGATCACCACGTGCTCTTGCGGAAGCACTGGGGATCGAGTGATGACAGATGGTAGGCACAGCCATCTACCTTCATGGTGCTCACACTCTTGTTGAGGGAGACACACTCAGATGTCACAGCATGTTTGTGAAAAGGGCTATGGAGAAACAGAAGCAGCACAGCGGAGTGCCGTGATCTTAGGGAGCGTGGGCAGGGCACCTCCTTGACACAGTGATTTCAGAAGAAAGACCACGGGACACTGGGAGGACAGGTCCGTACCTGGCCCAGAGGCAGTTGGGAGTGGATAGGAAGAGCTCCTGCCCAGAAAGCTTCGGCTTGTTCCAGTGGGGAAGGGACCCTCTAAGCCCTTGGAATGCCCTACCTGGTAAGTGTGTGGTAGGGCTGAAGGTCACATGGGTTCTTTGTTAGTGTGCTGTTGCAGCGAGCCCCCTACAACTTCTTTATGACTAAGATGATGACTAAGATGTGATTTACAGCCCGGCCTGGAGTGTCAGTACCCCTGGAGGTGTCAGCACACGTGGGGCCCCCTGTGACCTTGGTGGGATTTGGCTTTTGACCTGAGAAGAAGGCTGGGAGCAGGTGTATGCCACAGTGGATGGGGAGGGCGAGACTGGTGCAGGAAGCCTGCTAGGAGGTACAGCAGCTGTAATCCCAGGAGCTCCAGCTCCTCCAAAGCTTGAGGACGGATCCCAAGTTCAAGGCCTGGGCTGGGGAGATGGCTCAGTAGGATAAGCACTTGCCTGGCAAGTGTAAGGGCCTGAGTTCAATCCCCGGTTCTGCTAAGGGGAGAAAAAAAAAAACCAAAACAACAACCCCAAAACCTGCCAAGTTCAAGGCCAGCTCAGGCAACTGAATAGAAGACAGCTGTTTCCTGGGTTGGGGGAGGCCAAAGGAGGGGGACTGGGGGGTGTGAGATTAGAACTTATTTTTAGACCTGTGACATTTGAGCCGCCTGTTCTTCTCGAGGGGAAATGTTGAGTCAGCCTTTAGAGATAGGAGCCTGAGCTGCAATTATACCTTTATTATTGCTGCTAGCCTAAGTCCCTATAAATGTGATTCCTAGAAGCAGCCCTGGTAACGCTTCTGCTTATACAGGCTCCAATGTATTATTACAGAAGCTTTCCATTGCCTTTCTATTAGAAGAAGCGTCTATAAATAAAGTAGTATTGTTATTTGAGGAGGCCTCCGGACATATTTTAGAAAAAAAGGCCTCTAGTCATATAACATTTATTAGCATAGGGTCTGATTTTTTTTTTTTTTTTTTTTTTTTTTTTAAGGTCCTGCGGATCGAACCCAGGGATGTCACACGGAGCTGTACCCCTAGACCTTTTGTTTTGATAAACTGCTGGGGCTGTGCTTGAAGCGTAGCCATCCTGCCTCAGCCTCCCGAGTGCTGCTGTAACAGACTTGTACCACTACACCTGGCACATCCTTCGCGCCCGTTTCTCGAAGTAGAAATGTGGCTCAGCCTGGGTGGGGACTGTGTCAGGACTCAGTTCCGGGGCCCCTGCCTCCACCCACCCGCCGCTCCCCGGTTTCTCTCCTCCAGCCCTGAAGGATTCACGCGGCCACAGTTTCACGTCACTTTTATTAGGCCCCCAAATGTCGCACTAAGGGATACTCCACTTCTCTAACAAGCCCCCTGGTACTGGGGCTCGGGGCTTCTCTGCTGCCTCCCACCAGGCCCTGTTCTCTTCCTTTCCCCCAGGACACAGCAGCTGGGGCCCGTGGAGCTCCTCACGCCCCAGGAGCTGGATCGCAGGGCGCCAACGCCTCCTCTCCAGCGGCCTCCCTCTGGCTGCCAGGGCCGACTCAGCGCGGGGTGGACAGGCGCCGGCACTCGTGCATGCGGTAGGCGCACATGTAGAAGATGCCTCGGAGAACGAAGGAGTCCGCTGAGCCCCCAGGCCCCACGCTGCCGCCCTCCAGGGGCCCCACAGTTCCCAGCCTGCTCTTCAGCCTAGACCCTAGAGGAGGGCAGCCTGTCACCCCACACCTCCCCAAGCCCTGTACCTGCGAAGAAGGTCATGAGCAGCGCCACCCAGCCCAGGATGTAGGACCAGGAAAAGCGCCAGTCCCCGAAGCGGCGGCCGAGGAAGCTGACGGTGACTCCGGTGTAGATGGCCAAGGCCAGCAGGACGAACAGGGCTGCGGGGAGCCAGGTGGGGTGCCGGTGGGGGATGGGCGTGAGGCGGGAAGAGGTGGTCGGGTGGGGGATGAGGGGAATATGGATGTAAAGAACTTGGGGTGATTTGGAGGGGTTGCCTCTTTTTTTGAATTTTAGGATGAGGTTGATTTGGGTTGGGGTCGTTAGGTGGTTGGATGCCTGGATCCCGGGATACTAAGTTCTTGGAGTCTGGAGTTTTAGGGGTGTCCCCTATGCCTAAGCCCCAGAACCACATAGGAGTGCATGTTTGTACAATGTGGTGGCTCCTGATGGGGCTGGTTGTGCGAAAGGGTGGGGTGGCACAGGCTGAGGTGGGAGGACTTCAGCTTTGAGGCCAGCCTGGCCACTCACTGATTTAGGAAGACCCTGCCTCAAAATGAAAAATACAGAAGGGTGGTTACATCCTGGTTTAGGCTCCAGGGTGGGGGTGGGGTGGAGGAGAAAGGGAGGTCATGGTCATGTCCTGGGCTGGAGGGTGGGGTGTTGGAGTCCAGGTTGGGCCTCAGAGCCTGAACTGAAGGGGCAGGTGGGGCAGGGTCACTCACTGGAGGCGAAGAACATGATGCCGGCTGAGAAGGGCCGGGAGAGGCGGCTGAGGCTGGACTGCTGGGCAAAGGCTAGGATGCCCGTGATGATGCCGGAGGTGGCACACAGGGCGGACAGGATCATGAAGGCCCGGGTGGCATTCCAGTACGCTGTGGGGGCAGCTGCACTCATTACGGGCCCGGTGGGATCTCAGGTTTTTCCTTCAACACAAATGCTGTGTTGTCTGGTAAACTCCTACTCATCCTCCAAAGCCCAGCTCCCAAGACCTCCTTCCCTGCCTGGACACCACTCTCCCCCACTGCCTTGGGTTGTACGTCCCTTCTTCTGTCTTTCCCCTCCAGCCTCATGTCTTCTCCCTGAGCGCCGGGACCAGGTTGATTCTTGCCAAGAACAAGCACAGGCGGGTGTGGTGTTGCACACCTGGGATCTCAGCACTCACACCCGGGAAGCTGAGGCGGGAGGATCAAAATTTGAACTTCACCTGGGCAACTTAGGAAGAGCCTGTCTCAAAATAAAAAATAAAAAGGGCTGAGGGTGTAGCTCAGTGCAAAGGCCCCAGAAACATCAAAATAAGAGAGAGAGAGAGCGAGAGCGAGAGCGAGAGAGACAGAGACAGAGACAGAGACAGAGACAGAGAGACAGAGACAGAGACAGAGATTTGAGATAACCCACAGAGTTGGGTTATCTACTGGTCTGAAGAAATGTTTGCTGAATGAACGCATACAAGCTGGTTGCCCCATCTTCCTACTAATCGCTGTATACCCTCCCTGGTGTTGTTCTTTTCTATCAGCTTCATACCACAGGCCCCTATCTGAGACGTCTCGTTCATTTGTTTTTCCCTTGTTTTTTGGTTCTGTTCTTAAGACATCCTTTTTTTTTTTTTTTTTTTTTTTTTTTTTTTTTTTTCCTGTATTTTAGGAAAGGGTCTACAGGATGTTCAGGGTCTCTACTACTTGATTGGACTCATAGTGATTCGCCTGTTTACAGCCTCCCAAGTACTGGGATTACAGGTGAGCCACCACGCCCAGTCTCAATTGCCATCTCAGGGAGCCCCCAGTATTGGGGATCGAACTCCTGGCCCCTGAGCCTGCTTGCAGGTGCTATAATCCACTGAACTATTGGCTGGCCCCTGTTCTTGAGACAAAGACTCACTGTGTAGCCCAGGCTGGCCTTGAAGTCAAAATGACTCTCCTGCCTCAGCCTGCTGCATGGTGTGGTCCCAGGCATGTGCCACCGCACCCAGCCTGTTATCCTGTGTATACTATCTGCTGCTTCCCGTGGCTTCCCACTCTGTGAGGACAGTCCTGCTGTCTGGCTCACAGCTGGCTCTGCAGCACCCAGAGCTAAGGGGTGGGGGCCCATGCCCCTCCCAGGCCTCTCTGGGACCAGTGCTGTGGAATCCCTGTTCCCTTCTGCACCCAGCGAGGCTGAGCCAGGGAAGCTGGCCCCGCTGCTGCTGCTGCTGCTGCTGCTGCTGCTGCTGCTGCTGCTGCTGCTGATGATGATGATGATGATGATGATGATTTGGGAGTGGGTTACAGTCGTTGGGCAAATGAAGCCAACAGTGCAATTTGTGGCCTTGAAGATGCCAAAAGATAGGACAGGGGCTGGTGTGGCAGCGAAAGCCTGTGATCCCAGCACTCTAGGAAGCTGGGGCAGGAGGATAACAAGTTCAAATTCAGCCTGGGTAATTTAGCAAGACTCCATACCAAAAAAAAACAAAACAAAACAAAAAAAAAAAAACAACCAACAACAAAAACCAACCCAGTGAATTGCTCCAAGCACCCTCACTCCCTATGCCGGAGATAAGATGGGTAGTGACTCAGAGCTGTCCCCAGGCCTTGGGAACTCCCAGTTTGGAGCAGGAGGAAGAAGTGTCATAGATGAGTCTGCTACAGATGGAAGCAACCTGGAGTCAGACCCCAACAGGCCTCTTCATGGCCCCTGCCTCAGTTTATCGACCTGGGCTTCCTGCCCCTCCTTTGCGGCTGATCCAAGTGAAATCTCTGAGGCGGCCACACTGTCCCAGGGGTGGTGAGAATATTCTTCCTCTGACATCTTTGGGGGGACAATTGGACTGTTGGGGTCAAATTCCTAGGCTCATAGATGCCAAGTCGCTGTCCTGGCACTGCTGGGAGGCAGACGGGGAGCACCAGGGGCCTCGCCAGCACTCCACACATGCTGGCCGTGAATGCTGCTGCTGTTATTGATCTACGAAGTATGGTGCAATGGAGTATCCTACACCTCAGTTAGTGTTAATGTATTGTGCATTCCATTTTCTATTAAATAGAATATTGTTTGTATAGCATAGTTTATATAGTATATTTTGCATAATATATCATTATATAATATATACTATGTAATGTTCTGTCTATCACCCAGCCTGGCACCCCGGAGTAAAAGGTCCTTCATCCAGTATTTGCTCATTCACAGCTTCTCTGTCCTCTAGGCTCACACATAATTATTGGCCCAGATATTTATCAAATGTTCTGGCCATGTGAGAAGGCCGGTGCCTATAATCCCAGCACTCTGGGAGGCTGAGGCAGGAAGATCACCAATTCAAAACCAAGCTAGCAAGGCCCTGTCTCGGAAACAAGAACAAAAACCAGAAACCAGGGTGTAGTTCAATGAGAAGGCCCTGCGTTTGATCCCCAGTAGCACAAAAAAAAAAGAAAAGAAAAAAAAAAAAAAAGAAAGAATGAAAAGAAGCAAGCTGTCTCCACAACCCCAGCCCAGCCTGCGTTGCCTGACACCTTCAGTGTCAGGAAATGTCACCTCCTCAGCCCGACCTCTAAAGCTCCACAGCGTTACACACTGTCCCTGCAAGTTGAATACAGCCCTGCAGCCCCTCCCAGACCCGCTGCCTCTGGTGCTGCCGCTGCTGCCAGCCCGGTCCCTTCCTGCCGGGTGCCTGTCCCGCTGAGCTTAGAGGCCTGCCCTCGGGGACGGCCAGGCTAGGAGCCCCACACCCCGGCCGGCCGCGGCTCACCGATGCTCTCAGTCTGCAGGTAGCACTTGTGGCCCAGGCAATACCGCCACAGGCCCTGGTGCGCGAAGGCCCCCGACAGCCGGTACTGCATCCAGTGGTCTGTGGCTGTGGCCACCACCAGGAGGATGGTCCCCACCCAGGCACAGAAGAGGCCGCCGCCCATGAAGCTGTACATGGTGATCTGCAGGCACAGGGACAGACAGGTGCGAGCTGAACTCCTGGGTCCAGGGAGCTAGATTCAGGGACAGGGGAAGGGGCTGGGGCCAGGACCCCAGGATCCTGGGGGAGGGGGCGGGGCTGCAGCCCTGGGTTCTTTGGTCCTAGGTGAGGTGGCTTGGGGCCTAGATTCCTGGATCTGGAGGAGAGGTGGGGGGAGGGGACTAGCACACCAGGCCCTGCGGGGAGGGGCTTGGGGGCCTCCTCCCCACACCTGAGTCCTGGGTGGGAGCCACAGTTCCAGTATGCACATACCTGAGCGGCAGAGCCTTCCCTGAGCCCTCCTTCCACCACAGCCCCTCTGCACAGACTGAGCCGAGCCAGGTCGCTGGCCTCTCTGTCCCTGTGGATCCCCCAAATCCCTTAAGCCTCCCCGCACAATGGCCCAATGGCCCAGCAGTTTCCAGCACGCAGAAGTGCAGCGGTGGCCGAGGCCCAGAATGGAATTCGCTGAAGCAGGGATCCAGGGGACCCCTGCCCCCAACGGGCCTCTCTCAGTGACCCTCCCTGGGCCCACCCCTTTGCAGAAATCTTGCTCACTGTGAGCAGGGCAAGCAACCAGATACACAGAGATACAGGACAGAATCTGTTTATTGCTCAGCCAGGGCTTCCCACTCCCAGGAGCATGGGGCAGCGGTGGGGTGGGGTGCAGTGCCTGGGCACATCGGGCCATGGAGGTTCCTGTGGGGGGCAAGGGAGTCACAGTTGGGCTGGCATGGAAGGACACTGAAGGAGGTAGGCTGAGGCTGGGGCTGGAAGGTAGGATGAAGCTAGAGGAGGAGGTGCTGGGATGCAGAGTAAGATGGAGAAACGGGGAGAAGCTGGCACTTCACAGCGCATACCTAAACTGACGAAAGGGATTTTAAATTCAGGGCCAGCCTGAGCAAGCTAGGGAGACCCTGTTCCAAAGCAGACAGAAATTAAAAAGGGCCGGGAGTGCAGCTTTGGAGCAGGCGACACCAGTATAATGAGGCTCCAGGTTCAAGCCCAGCACCAGGATGGAGCTGGCCAGGAAGGCAAGGTTAGGGGTGGAGGGAGGCACAGAATGCGCTGGAGGAGGGGCAGGAAGGCGCAGGTTTGGGGTAGGACACAGAGCAGAGAGGACAGGGGTCTGAGGAGCAGGAGGGATCGGGGCTGCGAGTGGTCAAAGAAGGTGACTGAGGGTTGAGGCTGCAGTAGGGACGGTGCCCAAGCAGGCTGAGAATCCAGAGGGGCTGGTGGGGGCGCGATGCTCAGCCTTGTCCTGGCTTGGGATCTGAGCAGGACTGGGTGACTTGCAGGACTCCTTCCGGCTCCAGGAAACCCCGCTGTGGCAGCTGCTGGAGGTCCTAGTACTCTGTGTCCCAGTCCTCGGGAGCAGGCAGCTGGTCCTGAGGGGGCTCTGTTCCTCCAGCTTCCTTGGTCCCACGCTGGGCCTGCAGTGTGGGTGGCGACGGCAGCCTCTTGGCCCGGGCCTGGGGGCCAGCCCCAGCGCCCTCTGCCCTGTCCCTCTCCAACAGCTCAGCTCTCCCAGCTCCTGACCTCTGTGGGCCCCTGCCCCATGCAGGCCTGTGCCTGCATCCCCTTGGTGGCCTGGGGGCTATGCCTGGCTGGGTGTGGCAGGCCTGGGTTGAGCAGGTGCAGGAGGGCAGGGACTGCTGGAAGCTGTAGGCCCCCAGCAGGGCGTTGTGCAGGAGGTAGGAGAGGACATCCAGGCGGATGGGGATGGTAAGAGAGGCCAGGTGCTCGGGCAGCCCCAAGTGGGCTGGCTCTGGGCTGCCCAGGAAGGAGGGAGGCTGGGCCTGGAAAGGCAAAGGGGGCCACGCCTCGGTCCCAGGTGACGGCAAGGGGAGGGATGCATTCCTAGCGTGACAAGAAGATGAGTCAGTGGGGCCCACTGCTTGCACCTCTGATAGGAGACCCCACCTGATCTCCTCCTCGCCCCTTTCTTCTCAGTCCCTATCCGTGTTTGTAGAGCTACGATGAGGGACAACTCTGCACTTCCTCTCAGCACCACACAGACACTCAGCTCTGAACCCCAGCTGTACTGCTAAATGGTAACCCTGGGCAAACCATTTTCCCATATTTTTTTTTCCTGGAACCAGGGATTGAACGCAGGGCCTTGCGCTTGCCAGGCAAGAGCCATCTCCCCGGCCCCCATTTTCCCATTTTGAACCTTAACTTTTTTTTTTTTTTTATCCGAAGATGGCTATGGGCAGTATCAAGGGAAGTATTAAAGGGCTGAGTTTTGTGAATGTTGAATAAGCATAGAAAAGCGCTGGATTTTTCTCTAGCCCTGCGGAAGTCCCTGGGATCTTCAAGTCTCCTGAATCCTTCTTGGAATTTTCCTTACCCCAGGACAGGCGGCTGAACTCAGGGCCTTCACACCGACCAATCTACCTGGCACATTTGTTTTTAATTTTTTTATAATCTATTTGGTTGTTACAGGGTCTCACTACACAGCCCAGACTGTGTGATCCCCTGCTTTCAGCCTCCCCAGCGCTTGGCGCCACCATGCCTGGCCTGCTCAGTGCACCCTGGGGACTGGGCTGGCGCAGCATGTGGTGCCCAGGATCTAACTGCAGTCCCTGCGATTGCCTAAACTTGCCTAACCAGGCGCTGTAGTCTGCTGAGCTATCTTGCTGGCCCCTTATTTTTAATTTTGAGACAGGCTGTCACTAAATTGGTCACCTGCCCAAGCTGGTTTCCAAGCTGCATCCTCCTGCCTCAGCCTCCCACACTGCTGGGATCACAGGTGTGGGCCCTCACGCCCGGTTCCGAAGCTTTTCGATGAATGTCTACTTGTAGCTCGCTCACTCCGAATATCCTTGCCACAGTCTGGCAGCGGGATCTTCTAACGTTCTCCTTCCGCGTGACTATACCTGAGCTCTCAGTGTTTTTGCTTTTTCAGGTGCTCTTTCAGGGTGCGCCAATTTCCCCTCCCCCCTTCTGCTGATTTTCTCTCTCTCCTGCCTTCTCTGGGTTTCTGTCCCCTCCCTGGGGAGTCTTCGTCTCTCTTACCCTTGGGAGGCAACCTCCTCTTTTCGCTGCTCCATCGTCAGAGGAATCACTTAAGACTTCCAACAAATTCTTCGTGATCCTTCTCCATCGCGTGGGCGGGACGGGCGCAGAGCAAAGGGGCGGGACCAGGGCGGGCTTGACGCGCGCAGAGGGGCCCGGATGGTCCTGCGCCCACATCCGCGTCCTGTGCCCTGGGGGGTCAGGATCTGAGCCCATGCTCCCTCAGACCTGAGGTCTGGCCTTTTCTTTCTTTTCTTTCTTTCTTTCTTTTTTTCATAATTTTATTGAGAAACAAATAGCAATGAGACAGTTTCAAACCAAATTGGTAGGACAGTTTCAATAATTAACACATTGCGTACATTCTTCCTAGTGGTTAATTGCTGTACAAGATGCGGACTTGATATCCTATTTACAAACACTATTGCAACAAATCCCTCTAATCATTAAGAGAATGCAACTATATGTCTATCCTAACCACTTTGAATACACAGATACAAAATGGACATTCACCTGTATCCCCTTTTCTTGTTAAGTTCCATCATTTAAATATTATAGACGTGTAAACTCAGCAAAATATTCTAAAAGAGTCCACTGGCCCATAATAGTATTGGGTCTTCCGCTTGCTTCACTGGCAATGTCAGAAATTGTTGACCTGAGTCCCCCACATTTCAACACAACAGCATGGCTTTATTTCTTATATTTCGTTTTTATACTTTCCTTCTGGATGTATAAGACCAAGGTAAAGCAGGACCTTTGCAACAAGAGTTGTAGCTTTTTGGTCTGAGAAGGTCAGTGAAATGCCCTCAGGATTTGTCTTGAGATCCCGTACCTCAGATTGTAGAACCTTTGTCAGTGCAGCCATGTGGATGAGTCACGGCCATTGCTTGGCCAATGTGCTCTCTGTGAAAGCCTGAGAGAGGGTTTTCTTTCCATGTGACTCTCCCTAGGCACACTCCACGTCATCGATCACTTTTTCTTTTCTGTTTTTAGGCCCTTGCGCTTGCCAAGGAAGCGCTTATTCTACTGAGCCGTCTCCCTGGCCCGGCCTTTTCTAGCTGTTTCTGCAGGTGCCCTCAGGACAGTTTAGCAGGGAAATCTGGGCCCTTGGACATGCCAGTGGGTGAAGGTGTCGGTAGGTGGTGGGCGTCTTAAGGATTTTAAGGGTTCTCGTTCTGAGCTGGGTCTCTGACATCTGCGTGCCGTTAGGTCTTCTCACTCTCTTTGCTTTAGCATACAGACCTGAGAAACTGATGTTGTCACCCCAGTTCTTCTTTTCTTCTTTTTTGTATTTTAATAAGGCCCTACAGGGTGTTACTATGTAGATCTGACTCGTAGTGATCTGCCTGTGTTCAGCCTCCCAAGAGCTGGGATTACAGGCGCGCCACCAGGCTCAGTCTCAATCTCTGTCTCAGTGCGCCCCGGGGGTGGGGCCATCAGGGCATTGGGGAATCGAACACCTGCCGATTCATCTGCCTAAACAGGCCCTTTTAATCCGCTGAGCTAGTTGGCCGGCCCTATTACCCCAGTTCTTGTGATATATTGGGGTGGCATAATCCCACATCCCAGACACCCTATGGCTGGTTCCAGTGAGACTCACTCGGTCGGGGTGGGCAGTCCCAATCGCCATGTTGAGACCTAGTGAGCCTTCTGCCCACTGACTGAAGAATTACACAGCGCTTGCTTTGTGCTGCGCTCGAGGCTGGCAGCTGGGGACCATGGACCCCCACCTAGGACACTGGCCAGCTGGTGAAGGAGGGGACAGTGCACAAATAGTGCATTTTCTTTGGGGATGCACACTTCAGATGGGAATTGAGGGCAGGATGCTGGAGGCCAGAGGTGGAGGGGCAGCGGGAAAGCCCCCTGGGAGTGCAGCAGGCCCTGTCCTTGGGCAGGGGAAGGAGGAGCTAGGGGCAACGACAGGCATCTCAAAGTTTTATTTTGAAATATTGTATTTATGGAAGAGTTATAAAGAGAACAGCAAATTCCCATCTATTCCACCCAACTTGGCTCAAGGTCAGCCATCTTGCATGTCAAGGCTTCCATTTGTCCCAGCTAAGAAACCAATATGGTACTAAGGCAACTCAACCTTTAGAGTTTGCTACTTTTTACACCCAGGCCCCGTTTTTTTCCTGTCCCAGAATCCACTTCAGAACACCACACCACATGTCATCCCCTCTCCATTGACCAGCAGGGGCTTTTCATTCTTTTTTTTTTTTTTTTTTGTGGAGGAACCTGGGATCGAACTCGGGACCTTGCACTTGCCAGGCAAGCACTCAATCCACTGAGCTATCTCCTTGGCCCACTTTTTATTTATTGATTGAAAAGTTCAGAAGGATTTTTTTTTTTTTTTTTTTTGCCAGCTCAGGATACTTTAAGGGCAGTTCTGGTAAGGCATGAGGATCTGGGGATCGAACCACAGAATCCTAAGCCCAAGTGCTTTGCTTAAGCAGGCACTTAAACAACTGAGCTAACAGGCAGGCCCCTGCTTCTCATTCTTACTGATACTACCTTGATAGTGTTGCACAGTGCTAAGCACATTTATTTATTTGGTGGTACTAAGGTTTGAACCCAGGGCCTTTGTATGGGTTGCATCCCCACCCTTTTTAGAAAAAAATTCTGAGACAGTCTTACTAAGTTGCTAAGTTGGCCTCTAATTGCGCCTTTTGCCTCAGCCTTCCTAAGAGCTGGGATGGTGGGGCTGCATCGTGTAAATCAGTATTTCTACGCAACCCGGGTCTTGGTGAGTGAGCAACACTAATTCACTTAATCCTCCCTGAGGGGTTACTTGACTTGCTCAGAGTCACAGAGCTGCTACGTGGCGAGGCCGGTATTTGAACCCAGGCAACCTGGACCGAACGTCTGTGCTTTTAACAGAGACACAATGGACTGTATGGGCTCGTGCTGGCTGAAATATTTTGGGCTTTTTATTTTTCTCTTTTCTCCTCTTTTTTTCCGTGTAGAGTGTGTTCTACGACTGAGTTACATCACTAGCCCTTCAACTTGTAAATATAAGTATTGGGGGGGGGGCGGAGAGGAGGGGATAGGAACCGAAAGAGTAAGATGCACCAGGCACACGGAACAACTTTCTAGGATGAATGGAATCATGCAGTAATACAAATGTAAAAAGCACTGAAGAACTTCGAACAGTGGCAAGCAGAGCTGTGATGTAATGTGGTTTACGTCTTCGGAGCATGTTGCCTGCAGTTTGGAGCGTGGGTTGGGTATGAGGCTAGAGCTGGAACAGAAGGCCCAGGCAGGAGGGCGCTGCTGTTCTCCTGGAACGGCGCAGCGGACGGCCCCAAGGGGGCGGGAGCTGGGGCTGCATTCCAGTCTGGCAGGAAGGGCTTTGCCCGCCGCTGGATCGCTACGGGTGGGTGGGGTGGGGTGGGGTGAGGTGGGGGTGGGGGATAGTCAAGGAGAACGCTGTTTCCAGCTTCAGCAGCCCTTTTTCTTACAAGACAAAGCCTCCCATATGAGGGAGGGTGAGCAGAGCCTCGTGTTGGTTGCCGCTGGTGTCACCCAGTGGGCCAGAGTTACTATGGTTTTTTTTCCTCTCCCAGACTGGGGATTGAATCCAGGATCTTCATGCTGCGAAACCTTTCCAACCCTTGATTGATGATGACAGCAGGGGTGGGAGGGAAGCTAAGCGACTCTACCACCCAGGCTGGCTTTGAAGATTTTTATCGCGAGGCTCGGTTTTCTTTTTCTTGGCGATTTTGATGAGCACTCCGATCTCCCGACTTCGAGTCTGGCTCTCTCCATGTTGCTCAACTCCAAAGAGGCAGCTTATGTCTACACAAGGCCTGGAAGTCAGGGTTCGAATCTCGATTCCAGTACTTAGGGGTGCATGACCTTCTGCAAGCTGCTTAGTATTTCTGAATTTGTTTCTTTGTGAGACAGTGCCCATTGCTCCGTTCCTGCATAGTGGGATTTTACTGTTTATCCTGTCTGTGCGAACAGGGTTCAACTCTGCTTGGAACCAGTTAGACCCGGTCTTCACTTACCCCATTAGCAGCCCTTTGAAGTTGGTCCACCCCCACCCCAGCCCAGCTAGGAGAGCGGAAGCTAAGGAAATAGCCTTTATCCAGTTTTCAAATTAGGCCAGTTCGACCAGTTAACGTTGCACCTGGATAAATCAGCCTTCCAATTTGCTGGATTCAAGACCCGCCTATCCTTTGTTACGTAAGGCGGGCTAGTAAAAATTCTCACCTCTGATTGGGCAGAGAGTCGCGTTACCTCGTTCTCGCCTTCTGATTGGCTAACCCTTTTCCGCGCCTTCTTGCAGCATCTTTGCTAGGCTTTTGTCTGAGCTTACGGGTAGAGACGACTGCGACTTCCCGCGGAGACCCCACCAGGGTTGGAGGTCCAGACAAGAACAGAAGAGGGGCATCAGTAAGGATCGGTTTGTTCCTACCACTGTTCCTCGCTGTCCTCGGGCCGACAGAGTTCCAACATCCGGCCTTTGCAGCCTCCCTGGTGCCCATGGGCTCCAGGATTCCTTACACCCCTAGTCACTTCACTATTCCTGTATTCACCCCAGCCCAGGAGACCCTGTGCCCCGCCCTCCACGCTTTTAACCCCCGTAGGGACCCCTGCAAATGCAGAATTAGCGACAGGGTACCTCTCACTGCGGTCCCCACTCTGCATGCCACGTCTAAATTCTGTTCCTCCTGCAGCCCCTTCAGGGGCGGGAGTCACCTTTGGATTTTTGCCTCGGGCTTTTTACTTCTGAATCCCCTTCGGCCACCTGTCTAGCTCCAGTTCCCCCGGAGGTCTTCGAGAGTCTGAGAGGATGAGGTCATTGAAAGTCTGGTGGAGCCTTGTTTTCAAGCTTCTAGAGGGTGCCCTTGGGCCCAAGGGCAGGTTTCAAAGGCTTCTATAGTTATGGCCACTAATCTCATTCTTGACAGCATGCATGGTCTAATCAAGTCCTGGGAAACCTGAAGAATTTTTCAGTAAATAACAGTATACCCACCAAGCACTATGCCATTTTATGATCATGTTTGTCTGTCTCACCATTCCTTTATGCACCCAA